AGCTTCTGCTGAAAACTGGTGTGCTTTTCCTGTAAGGCAGCTATTTGGGAAGGCCTGTTCTGGGCAGGACCTGTTTCTGGTGGCTTCAAGGTGTAACTGTGTATAGAGTGTATTGGATGCCTGTGTAAATGTAACATTGCTTTTATTCCCAGGCATTAAGCTTCGTCCCTATCAAATAGAAGGTGTAAACTGGCTGGTGCAATGCTACGAAGTCCAGCATGGCTGTATCCTGGGTGATGAGATGGGTCTTGGGAAGACTTGTCAGGTATGTCGTTGTCATCTTCTGGAAAATGATCTTTGCCTAATTTTTTTTATTATCCTCATGTTTCTGCAGAATGAAAAATGACCATAATGATTGATCAGTTAAGCAGTCCTGTCCTGAAGTCCACACCCAAAAGAGAGAGTTTGTTGGGTTTTATTGTTTCTTTCATTCCTTAATCACTTAAAACAAGTGTTAAGTCCTGAGTAACACTTTGAAAAAGGTTTCAGGGTTTTGTAAAACAATGAGTGGTGATTTTATACAGACACCTTAATGCGTAATTCACAGTGTGCAGAGTTGAATCATAGAATCATTAAGGTTGGAAAAGACCTCTAAGATCATTAAGTCCAACCGTCAACCCAACACCACCATGCCCACTAAACCATGTCCTGAAGTGCCACACCAACACGTTTTTTTGAACAGCTCCAGGGATGGTGACTCCACCACTTCCCTGGGCAGGCTGTTCCAGTATTTGATAACCCTTTTGGTGAAGGAATTTTTCCTAATATCCAATCTAAATCTCCCCTGGCACAACTTGAGGTTGTTTCCACTCATCCTATCACTAGTTACTTGGGAAAAGAGACTGACCTCCACCTCACTACAACCTCCTTCCAGGTAATTGTAGAGTGACAAGGTCTCCCCTCAGCCTCCTCTTCTCCTGTTCTCCAGGCCCTTCACCAGCTTCGTTGCCCTTCTCTGGACACCTCAGTGCCCTTCTTGTAGTGAGGAGCCCAAAACTGCACACAGCACTCGAGGTGCGGCCTCACCAGTGCTGAGTACAGGGGCACAATCACCTCCCTACTCCTGCTGGCCGCACTATTGCTGATACAGGCCAGGATGCTGTTATCGAAGGCACAATACACAGCCAGTACAAATGATATCGGTTTGATGCACCTGCAGTAAGACAATTTTTGAGTTTGTCAACACATGGATTAAGATTTACAGGTGTAAATTTTTGAGAACTTTTTTTTTGTGAGTTTTTCAGTGGGTTTCAGTTTTGTTGGAAAATGACTGTGCTTTGGTTCAGCTGGTGGTATTCAATGGGTCTTAAATAACAAACTGGTAGTTTCAGAAAGTGGTCTATGATAGATCTTGTTTTTTGTGAGTGTGGGAGAAAGGTCTTTGGAAAGGGGCTCCAGGTGTCAAGGTCACATTTCGGGATCTAAGATTTTTTGTCATTGATGGTGGATCTCATGTCATATTCTATTAGCTCTGCTTTGTGCTAGAGAACCTGTGGGAACTAGCTACAAAGCTCAACAAGGAGACAGTTTATGTAGGTTCAGGATGTTGGGTTGAACCCTTTCCTTGTTATCAAAAAAATTATTTTCCTTGCCTTCTAGACTATTTCTCTACTTCTCTATTTGACCAAAAAAATAACAAACAAAGAGAAATTTCTGATACTTTGTCCTCTGTCCGTTCTGAGCAACTGGAAGGAGGAACTGGAGAGGTAAGTTTCAACAATTGTCTAGCTCATCATATTCTTGCACAGCAAGTTACGAAGATTTTCTTCAGATGTGCTTAGTTCGAAAGTTTTGTTTCTTTCAAAAGGAAAAAAAAAGTAAAAAGGGAAGCTACTAAACCAACAAATCAATGCAAACTGTGTGGTTAATGCATAGGCTTTACAATGCTGTGCTATACATGGAAATTCATCCAACTTACAGTATTGGCTGACTTTCAGACCAAATGCTCCTACTAGCTTCTTGCTTGTTATTGATTTGTAACCCTCCATGCTCAGCATCTCTTAGGCAAAATCTGCTGAAGACAGCCAGGATTCTGTGTGATGAAAGGTAAGACCCAAGTTAAATAGTATCTGTCTTGGCATGCTCACATATGCATGCAAAATACATTACATCTGTGAATGCAGCCCATCTTCGCTGGGGTGCAATGACTGTGCCGATGGCACATTTGCTAGGCCCCGACTATGTACGGTTTTAAGCTGGAGCCCAAAGATTCCTTTTAAGAGGGAAGGCAGAAAGTTGAAGATTAGAACAGAAGTTGATCTATGGGGCTGTCGGGTGATACTGTCTCTCAACATCTGAAATCATCCAGGTTACATTCTGAAGTGAGCTGGCCTGATTTGGATAGGCTTGCAGTTGGAATAGTTGAGGGAAAACGCATCCCTTCGTAGATCGACCATGAACAGCTATCCAGGAGGAACATTTGGCAAATATCAGGGGTGCAGTTAAATGAGGAAGAATTTTATCGTCCAAACTCATCCTCCATGGAACTGGTTTTACCTGCTTTTTGACTAGGAGAATAGATTTTCGAGGACCTGACTTGGACCTGTATGCTGCAGACATTGTTTGCCTTTATTTTAGCATGATTTAGGCCAGTTCTTTGGACCCCCTGGGAAACTGTTCATTCACCTGCTGCTCATGAGCTTTTTTCAGTTCAGAATAGCAGATGGGCCGTGAGGCTGGTTTTCAGTCATCTGCCTTGGATCTGGAGACCTAGGAGAATGCCGTTTATTTGGGGCTTGTCCAAACCAGAACCAGCAGCTGAGGTGCCAGCCTGAGATGCAAGTTAATCAGGAAGGGGTTAGATTGAAAAGCTGAGATCCAGCCACGTCTCACAGGAGGGTGGGGTGTTTGGGTAGGAGGTTCTCATTATCTGTGCAATAGCTATGTTTTGTAATGGGGTCCAGGCTCACAAACACGACAGACTTAGCTCGGCTCGCTGTTTTTGTTCTGTCTTTCTCTTGACAACAGGTTTGCTCCAGGTCTTTCCTTTGTGACATACATAGGCAACAAGGAGGAGCGACCCAAACTGCAGCAGAATCTGAAAGAGCGAGCTCACTTCCATGCGCTCTTGACAACATATGAGGTACGTGATGTCTCTGTCACTGGAAAGGAGGGCTCAAGTTTCTCCTCACTTTTTCCATTCTTCTGTACCAGCCAGCTCATGCCTTGTCCACTGTACTCATCTCTGGCCTTCCTCAGTGATTTTCTACTCTGTAACCCATTTCACCAACTCATCTAAGTTGCTGCAGATTTTGTATCCCTAAGCTAATCTACTTTAATTCCACCTTTACTGTGTAGCTGTATCGTACCTTGAGTAAAGACAACAAGCACATGTCCATCCTTAGATGGTATCTGCATTGTCTTTGTATGGTGCCTTACAGACCTTCAACATTTAATAGAAGCATACATGTGTGTGATGTTTATTAAGATTCTATTAATCAGGCAATGCAGGAACACTTAGAAAGGGTTTGCCTTTTTTGTGCCCTCTTCAACATGCCATCCTTGGACAAAGCTTTCATTCCTGGGCTGTAAAATCGCAGAATCACAAATGGTGAGGTTCCTGTTGCAATTGATAGGACTTTCGGCTGAATCTGATCAGAGCTTTCATGAGAAGGTCCTGTCCTGCTGCAGGTGGAACCAACCAGAAAGAGTTACTTCCTTGGTCACTGCTTTGGACTTTGTATGATCTGGTGCTTTGTTATCTGGAGTGGGAAAAAGCCCTCAGGTGTCAGTTCATGTCAGCACTTTGGTTTTTATTTTAACAGTCTCTTAACAAACACATCAACTTGAAATTAGATGGAAAGCATCTCTCACAGCTCCTTTCCACCACCACCACCCCTCCTTAGATCTCCCTTTTGCTTTCCCTCTCTTCAAGTATTTTACGGTCTTTTCCCGTTGGGAGCTGTATGACCTGTGCTGACCACTGTGAACCTGAATCTTTTTCCATGTTGCACGAGCAGGAGCGAGTAGCAGTGATAACCCTTTTCCTGAGTGTGATAAATGGAGGTACTCATACTGAAGCAAGTCCAAGAAAGCAACCGACTGTATAGAGATACTCACTTAGCTAGGATTTTTCTTGGTTTCATGATTAAATTCTGTGCTTTTTAAGGATTTCTCTTGAGTGACCTGATTTATCTTCCTCTGAATCTGAAGTTGGGCAAGCAATGCCTATAGTTCAGGATACTATCAGGTCATTGTAATAGCTTGGATTAATCCACTGAAACATATGTTTGGTTAGAGTGGAAAAGATTGTGAAGTTGAAGGCATGTGGTGTTTCTTACTGAGTGAGAAAGATATGAAAAACTTTACAGAGGTGCAGAGCATTTATGACTGTATAAATTTCCATTAGTTCTCTGAGGTTCTACTGCTGGTGTTTTGCCAGACAGGAGTTAAAATGTAGGATCACAGCAGCTTGTGGTTACAATAACTCTCATGTTACTTTCCTCAGGTAGCAAGTGGCTTCATTCCATTCTCCTCCATTCCATCATAGTTTGCAAGTAGACAAAAAGATGTTCTGTTTCTTAACTGATATATTAACTTACATTATAAATTCATTTATTTTTGTTGCAGATTTGTCTGAAAGATGCAGCATTTCTCAAATTGTGAGTCTGATTTTAATTTTTTCAAATTTAATTCTGCATGTCTGTCACCAATTTCTTAAGTATATGTTTGTGTGTGTGTGTGAGATCCCATGCTTGTTTCACAGAAGCCAAGCAACTTCTTTGCTTGTGATTAGAACTTTGCCTTTACCAGCTTTCAGTGAAGAATCTTTAATGTCAGCTAAGATGTACATGAACTTCTCCCAAGGACAGTTTTCAAGCCAGTTACCTCAAAATAATATGATACATAGTGGCTTATAGCAGTACACTAAATATCAGTCCAGAAGATTGATAATCAGAACGGACATCTTTGACGTCTTCAGGTTATAAATGTATTAGATGCAAAATTTGCTGAAATTGCTATGGTGATCACGTGCTAATATCATATCCTGAACTTCATTGCCTCCTGCCACCAGTTAGAACTGTGCAGGGTTTATGGAGCATTATGCTTTCTAGGAAGACTGATTATACAGCTGAAGTTCAGCCTGTAGGAAGTATTGTCATGGCTGTGCAGGATTTTACAGAAGCCTACACTTGAAATGGGGAGGAGTTTTCATATTTTTTAGTAATAGCTCCAATACCCTGCAATAGTGGTAAGTGCTGTGACAACTGCTGGGAGGAGCCAGATAATCATGGATGGCTCAGAATCTTTGTAGGAGCAGAAACCCAGTGGCCCCCACTGACACAATTTTGGATCTCCCAGAACTAGTCAGGCCCACTGTGGGTGCCCTGTTGTCTTTCTGCAAAGCAGCTGCCCTTGGCCGCTGGTTGTGCTGGATGAACACAGGTTGTGGTAGAAGCCAGGCCTTATGAAAGGTAGCCGTGGCCATACTGTCCTTACAGTTTCATATCATGTCCTGCACTGCTGCGTATGATTCTGCTTATTTTGCAGCTTAACGCTGGGATGTAGTACCCAGGGAGAACAAGTAACTAGCCCTAGTATGACAGAAATGTCAGCTCCAGGGCGATTTCCTACTTCTAAGGCTAGCACATAACCTCAAAGCCATGTCATTCAAGGGGTTTTTTGCCCTCTAGTATTCCTTCTTAAAAAAGTGGCTGCTAATCATTTGTACCTTGTCCTGTGTAGGAGCACTTAGAGCACTTCTTAAAAGTGGGTTGGAGTTATCAGCTGTCTCGCCTTACCATCACTCCTTACAAGCAGTGTAACAACACAAATGAGTTGAGCAAGAGCCCTGTTCCAATGTAATGTGGAGAGGTTCAGTTGCTGAGCCTGTAGAATAAGGATAACGACATTTCACTGTCCTGGCAGTGGAGAACCTCTCTTAAATAGCAAAGAGGGAAATCAAGGGACTCAGAGCTGTGGGGAGAATGTGGGTCCCTGTGACTCCAGCCCTTGTATTCCACCGGAGAGAGAAGTGTGTAGGTAAGAAAAGCTGTAGGGTCATGCGTTCCCTCGCCTGCCTGCCCATCAGCCAGACTTGACTGTGTGGACATCACTCTGTGATGTGGGAGTTGAAACCCTAGTGGTACGCAGGCACAGACACTGAGGGCTGAAAAGATCTGGAGTTTGTATTAAGCCTGGTGGATCTACTTGGTCACCAGTGATTCTGCAGCCTACTTGATGAGACACTGCCTACATCTATATTAAGCCCAGAACAAGCTGAAGCTCCTGTCTTGGGTGATTTGCAAAAGGCTTGTAGTCACTCCGCGATTGCTACCTGGTAATAGTTGTTCAGTTTTTGTATAGGTGCAAGGGCCTAGTTTCACATGCGTCTTGTTCCAAATTGTAGAGCTCCTTGGACGTTTGACTAACTTGTGCTTATGTCATTTTGCCCATAAAAATGGGGGTGGAGATAGAAGCCACAGATTCAAATGAATTTACTTAGTTTTGATTTCAGAAAAACTCATCCAGGCTATAGTTGAGAAACTGCACTGGCTCTTGAAGACCAGTACTTGTGAATTCCCCCCACTCTGCTTGTGATGTTTGCTTGTGGTTCGTGGGGCAGGACCATCTCAAGGTCACCCAAGCAGAGCCACCACTTATTTCAGTCTTTTTGTACTGACGGGAATGAATTGTCTGCCCCTAACTGAACATGCTCTTTTTTCAGCTTTAACTGGGCTGCCTTGGTTGTAGATGAAGCTCACCGACTGAAAAATCAAAGTTCTCTGCTTTACAAGACACTTTCTGAGGTAAAATAACTCATCCATCTTTTACTGTCTAAAGCCTTTTTTCTCTTCAGTATAGCATACAGATTCTCTGCTCCTCTGAGTGTTTATTAATCTCTGGGCCACAACCAGTTGCCATCAGAGTTGGTGAGCAGATTCCTGCATTTAGTGGCAGACAGATAAAGGCCTATCTTGTTGGCTTTGCATGGAGGCGAGCAGTATTTGGAGCTCACCTCTCATTCCAGCTCATGTTTGGGCTTGACACGTTGGAGGAATTTGAGACACTGAAAAATGTAAAGCAGCCAGACATAGTGCTGAACCACAGCTGTGCTACTGAAGTGGTAGGAGTCTGCCTGACCTAAGACAATATAAAGTGACAAGAGGCTATCTCCAGCTCTGGGAGGATGAAGGAACCCTTGCCTAGTTCGTGGGACCTCAAGTCACGAACTGTTGACTTCCATTGTCCCATTTAATGGAGCCCCCCTTTTTTATTGAAATTAGTAGAATTGTTCCAGGTTCCAAAGTACAACGAATGCCTGAATGAAGTCTACACTTCTTGTCATGGCAGTGAAACATGGGCATTAGGTCTGGGTTGCCATCAGCAACAATGAACTACATTACCTTGAAAAAAAAGTTTTCAAAAAATCTTCTGAACATATTGCCCATGATGTCTGTATTTCAGGAGCTTTGATGGTAGTCACAGAGAAATAGGTGTTATTTACCTTAGCTCTCCTCCTAATGTATTTTCTATTACCTAACTTGAGAGAAGACTTGTATTTTTTCAAAGGTAATCATATTCCCCAAGTCTCTTTATAAGGATTACTGTAAGCAGCTTCAACCAGGTAATGTTGCTGTGCGGGTCAGTTAGCCAGCAAATAGAAATAGTCTTTTGCAGTTTCATTTCACTGTCCTATTCTGACAGCATTTTCCAGTCGTCTCTCATTACCTAACACTGAGTATGCAGTACTGGACCCTAGAGTGCATGGATCTGAGAATTTTCATGGTGTTGGTTTTGCACTTTGTTCTTATTTTGCTTACACTCTCTTCTTGGCATTCACGCCAGCCTAGTCAGTTTGATGGAGCTGTTTGATGGAGCAGTGAAGCTGGTGAAGGATCTAGAGAACAATTTTATGAGTAGCAGGTGAGGGAACTGGGGCTGTTTAGTCTGGAGGAGGCTGAGGGGAGACCCTACCGCTCTCTACAGCAACCTGAAAGGAGGTTGTAGCAGGGTGGGGGTCAATCTCTTCTCCCGAATAACAAGTGATAGGATGAGAGGAAATGGCCTCAAGTTGCGCCAGGGGAGGTTTATATTAGACATTAGGAAAAATTCCTTCACCAAAAGGATTGTCGAGCACTGGAACAGGCTGCCCAGGGAAGTAAGTGGTGGAGTCACCATCCCTGGAAGTATTTAAAAGACCTGTAGATGTGGTGCTCAGTGACATGGTTTAGTGGTGGACTTGGCAGTGCTAGGTTAATGGTTGGACTCGATGATCTTGAAGGTCATTTCCAACCTAAACAATTCTATGATTCTACGACTGTCACACCATACCTTATGTTGGATGGTTTTGGCAGACATTTGCAGCATTCTGCGGACATTTCTGTGCCACCTGTCATCTTTAAGTTAAGCTTAGGAGTGGGTGGAGTTGTTATTAAGTAGCTGTACATTACAGATACTTTCTCCTAATAATTTTGTTTTGTTGCTGGTTCTTTCAGTTCTCAGTAGGTTTCATCCTGCTACTCACAGGCACTCCAATCCAGAACAGCCTCCAGGAACTGTACTCCTTACTCAGCCTTATTGAGCCTGACATCTTCCCTAGGGAAGAAGTGAAAGAGTTTGTTGATTATTACCAAGGAATTGAAAAGGAGAGTGAGCCAGGTCAGTAATAAGCAATGTTGTACTTGGATCAGAAGCAGTGACTAAGAAGCAGATGTGTTGTGTCCCCTTTATTTCCTTTTTTTTTTTTTAATGCTGACTAGCTTTAAAACAAAGCCACTAAAAGTAATGACCCTTGTATTTAATGCAGTAATCTCCTCTTTTTTTTTTTTTTTTTTTTTCCCCTCTTCAGTGTAAGTTGTTTTTAATCTTTGTGGCTTGGGGGGAATCTTCTGCAGCCATTTTTGCTTCGAAGAGTCAAGTCTGAGGTGGCTGCAGAGCTGCCAAAGAAGGTGGAAGTGGTTCTGTACCATGGAATGTCAGCTCTGCAAAGGAAGTACTACAAGGCCATTTTGACAAAAGATTTAGGTAACTGAGGGGTTTGAACCCTGTCAGCTAATTTTAAAACCAAAATTGATTCTTTTTGTAAATCTGTGCTCTGTTGTAGAGAAGGAGAAGATACTTTGACCTGCAGAATATACCTAGAATGAACGTGCCAAATTCAGTGCTTTGGGTTGCTTGATTTGTGGTTTTAGCTTGTGATAAAATAAGAGGCATATGAATCAAGAGCTGTGCTTTTGCAGAGCTGGGGAGGGTCAGCTTCAGGACTCTACTTTGGGCCAGCCTGTAATTAAAAGCATTTATCACCAGGTAAGCCTGCTCCTGTCCCATGGTTTTGTGTTCAGACAAAAGGGTGGTACGAGACATCTTGGATCTGTGGATCGCTACAAATTTTCCAATAGTAGTACAGATGCCATACAGGAAATTTGAATGTACTGGATGTAGATACAAGTTTCTTAGGAAACCACGGGGCCGTATAGACAATGCAGCAACAGACTCTTACCGTAATAGCTTGCTCCTTGTTACTTCACATGTGAACTAACTGTAACAAAGCATCTTGAGTTATGAGGGAGCAAGTATTTGCTTCTCTCTGAATTCCTCCTCTTCCATCTATGCATACCACATCATATGGCTTGCCAGAAAAAAGGGAAAGTAAAACTGGGGGGATGGAAACGCTTTGTTCTTTGAGGGGTAGTGCCTGGTGCATCAAGGAGCCAATGGCACTTTGCATGCATGTCACCAGGCAGGCTGAACCTCCTTCTTCTAAAGTCAGCATGTGTGCACTTATCTTCTTTTGCTCCTCACAAAAATACAACTTTTCTTGACTTCCTGATTGCCCAGTAGATCTTGACCCTGCTGTATTACTTTTTTTGTTGGAAAATACAAATGAACTGCACCAAATTTCTTTCACTATTTTTGACAATTTCTAGGTCTATAATTCACTCTTAGGAAAATGATGGTGACCCTTTCCAGGGAGTCCAGAAAATTTCAAAAAGTTGTCCAAAAAATGTGAGGGAAATTCTCTTTGGTCCATGAAAACAGATGTGTTAGTCTTGAGATAGAAATTGAAATGCAGATGTGATATGCAGAGAAAGAGACTCCAGTGCTGAAGCACTTCAGAGCAGTGCTCTACGCCCAGACATTCCCAGTCACACTCATTGATGGAGCATGGGCTTTCCTGATCTCGGATACTTTTCTGTGCTTTTTGTTCCAGATGCGTTTGAAAGTGAAACAGGAAGAAAGGTTACACTTCAGAATGTCTTAATTCAGCTTCGGAAGTGTGTTGCGCACCCGTACCTCTTCAATGGTAAGAAAGAACTCCTCTCTCTTGAAATAAAAATGGGTTTCTTGATTTACACAATGGTTTTCTATTATTGCTTGGCAGCGTAATACTTAGAAGCAGCAAGTATTAGACAGTGTTGTACTTGAATCAGAACCAGCTGTGAGTTTGTGACCAGTTCCAACATATGACAGCTCATCAGTAATTAGAATAAAGTAGGGGGCTGTGTGAAGTCTGAGTTTCTTACTGCAGCTTTCTGCTTGTTTTCTCATCAGTGCCTCTACTCTTACCTAAACAATGAAATCACAATGCTTTGTGAACTACGAAGGGTGTTCTTTAGAGATGGAGAAGGACCATCACTTTTTGAGCAAGCATTGTGGGAGTCTGCTTGGCAATAAGTTAACAGTGCAGACACACTGAGGTTGACCACTGAGTTGTTACTTGCATAGTATTAGGTCTGCTTCTGAAACTCCTTTCTGTTCCAGGTGTTGAGCCAGAACCCTTTGAGATTGGAGACCATATTGTGGAAGCCAGTGGCAAGCTGTGTTTGTTGGACAAACTCCTTTCGTTCTTGTATGCTGGGTATGTCATGTTGGGGTGAGAAAGATAGGGTGGGATTCACACAGGGAGAAGAGGTAAAGTAGGAAGTCAAACTACCTTATTTAGCCGTAGATTGAGCAGGTTACTCATCACAACGCAAGCACTGCCCTATTTATTGCACGTTATTGACTACCTGAAAGAAGTCATTTCAGTATAAGAAGCTGCATGAGAGATGGTAGAGTAACCTCAAAGATTTTTGTAGCTTCCCTTTAAACACTTCTCAAAACACTTAGTTAGCTCTCTCACCTGTTCTCATATCTGCCATATTTGGCAACCTGGGAGAGTAACCATCTGACATGGTATTCAGCGTATCTGGTTAGACTATGGGTTTCCTGAGAGTAGTTTCCAGTGCATCAGTTGAGTTCCTTTGTGCTACTGTGCGTGTGTTAGCCTGTTAGGAGGCAGAATGCATAGCAAATGTGAAAAAGAAATTCGATTTGACCAAAAGCCAAGAATAAGCTGAAACTTCTGAATGGCATTCAGAACTCCTGGTGCTGGGCTGTGGTGACTTCAGAATCTACAACCCAAGGACCTTGACTAATTACCTCCAGCTCTCAGATAGGAGGCAAATAAAACTGGTTTACGTTCTTGTGCAGTTGGTGAAAGGGTGCCTCCTGCATGACACAAATTCTACCTTCTTTCTTAATTGGGCTGCGATTTCCCTTTGACTACATCCAAAGGACAGGGCTGCAACAGACCTTGGGGAAGTTCTGATGTGATTGTGGAGGACTTTGTCCTGCTGTATAACACCTTGTGAGTGGATACCCTTGAATGTCTTTGCCACAGGACCAGCCCTGTGCAAATTCTGGACTTGAAAACGCCTATGTTCTCCCTACAGTGAAGTCTGATTTAAACAGAGCACTGAGGCCTAGAGCTGGCAGGGAGGAGAGTTGAGTTCTCACTTATACACCATTGTAGGCGTTTTGATCTGGAGAGAAGGAAATGCTCTACTGTCACAGAGATGCTGATATTACATTTTCCCAGCGTTGAAGATGCTTTGTAGTGTGTGATTTGAGAGCAGTCTGGTGTGGCAGGTCATGTGGCGAGGAAGACCTCATGATGCTAGCTTGAAGCTGAGGATCCTTTTAGACAGGCTCCTTTGGATCCTCACCAGGCTGCGTCCAGCCAGCAGCAGAGCTGTGCCAGACCCTTGTTACGCCTCTGTGACTCCAGACTCTAGACATGGCAACTGATGATGGCATTTGAGGCTGACTGGTTGCATCTGGATGTGAGGCTGAAAATGTGGTGAGGGAATGGGACATGACTCTGAGGCTTAGTGTACAGAGGTGATGAGGCCTTGCTATGTAACAGTGACTGGTTAAGCTACTGTAACCCCTCTACCACTCTGTGAAATGCTGTCACAGTATGTTGAGCTCATGGTGTCTCACATTCTTTTTCCAGTGGCCACCGTGTCTTGCTCTTTTCTCAGATGACTCAACTGCTTGATATCCTGCAAGACTACATGGACTATAGAGGTATGTTCTGCACGCTTTGGCAGCAGAGGGCGTAACCTAATGATCTCTGCCATATATTGTTCCTCTGATTTTGAGGAACATTTTCCTCAAACATTTTCCATCCTCAGATCTGCCTGGGATGGAAAAGGGACTGTGATGAGGATTTATTGCTCCTTAGTAGATAGAAACCATATTTTTGCAGTAGTGCTGTGAGTTGGAGGGTCTTGAGTTCAGCTCTTTGCTGTGTTACCACCTGCCTGAAATGAGCTGGCACTTAAATGTTGTTCTTCAAAGTAGTTTCTGCTTTGGTTCCTTGATGAAATGGAGCTAACAGATGGCATGGTAGCAATGTTTCATTATATACCTGTGTTCAATTATGTTCCTGAGTCCTGAAGTAATTGCACTGAAGGCAGTAGGCTTGCTCTAGGTTCAGTTTGTCCAGCATAAAATGCAAATTGGGCCACATTCATACCAGGAAATTAATTTTTGATTAAAACAGTTGTTGGCAGTGGGGCCCCAACATATCTGCGAGGGCAGGTTGGATCAGACTATTTTTGGCAAGGTTACCAAACTGTTCTTGGGACATTTTCTTTTGTTTCTATCCACGTGGCTCCATGCCTACTTAGGATTTCCCATGAAAGAGGCTTTTGTTTGGTGTTTATGGTTTTGGACAACTAATAATGCAGGATAAAGCCAAATGTACAGCCATATCCCGTACTGCTTGCTCACAGGAAAGCACACACTGAAGGCCATGGGAGTTTTTGTAAGGAGGATCCAATGGTTGTTGGCCTGTTTTGTGGGGCCAACAGCCAGCACAGCATAGTCTGAAATGGGACTGTATGCTAACGTTCTTTTATTTTGGCTCTGAATTTTCCTGTTGTGTTTCCAAGCAGCAAATTAAATGCTGAGAGTCTCTCCTTCAGACTCAGCAAAATTACCTACTTCAGTTTATGTGAGGTTTAACCGGGAAAGAATGAAGGACTTGAAGGCAATAAAATGAGAATCAAAGCAGGAGGATTTGGAATAAAAAGATTCAGGACAGCAGTGAGACAATAGAGAATGAGGTAGGAGGGTGAAAGCATAGACAGAATTTCAGAAACATATGTGTTGCTTGTTTGAAAAGGCTACAGCTACGAGCGGCTGGATGGTTCTGTTCGGGGTGAAGAGAGACACCTTGCCATTAAGAACTTTGGTCAACAGCCCATCTTTATCTTCCTGCTGAGCCCCAGAGCAGGTAAGTAAGGAAAGGAGAGACAAACAACCTATCCTGCTTCTGTGCTCTTCTTTTGCTCTCTCTGGCAAGATTTCAGGGAGTTCTGTTCATGTGGGGGATTTTTGAGGGAGACAAGACACATCCTGAATTTGGGTCTTTCAGCTAGGACATCTGGTTTGTGTGCTTTCCTTTTGGCAGCTGATGCCAAGATACTTTTTATATTGCAGCCACTTGAGTTACCTTTTTTATTCCAAGTCCCATAATGCCTGTCCCTGTGCCAGGTTGAGCTTAAGGAATCTCACTAGCGTCTTATTTCTGCAAGCACCAGACTTCAGGCGGGAGCAAGACTTCCTTTAAGTAAGCTAGTGGAATTGCTTCTTGAGTTTGCTGAACGTGGACGTGCTCTCTAGCTGGCAGACAGACTCAAAGGAGAGCCTTTACCGTCCTGAGACTGCAAAGAACGCCATGGGACTGCCATCTGTGCTTCTTCCCCTCTTATCTCCTCAGGCAGATCTGTGTCTTCTACACAGTTTCAAACCTCCCTGTCCCTCTATTCAACCAAGTGGAGAGGCAGGCTTGTTTCCGGAGGAGGGATCCACACTGCTTGATCTCAAGCATCAAACTTGAGGGTTTTCCTTTGGGCCAGACTTACCTGGATGAGCCTGGCTTCAGTGATATTGCAGTGCATTGAGGAGAGTATGTGGAGAAACTGAAGAGAAGCGCCTAATGCTAGATGGTAGGAATAAGTGTGTGTCTCACCACAGTGCCTGAACTCTCCCCCTGCCCATGTCAGCCAGACTAAGAGTTGTTTTTTACTGCACGTTGCAATGTCTGGCCAAAGCATCTTGTATTCAGCTGGGAATGGGTCTGCTAACAGTATTTCCATCACTGTTATGGACAGAGATTTTTCAAGTGCATGAGTGTCTTCACTTGAAGGGATGTTCTGATTACTGTGAAGAGGTGCTTGGCATGACCTGGAAGAATTGTAAGGCAGCAGGCTCCCCCCTCTTTAACTACAGTATGTAGTCACAATATTGGGTATTAAAAAACCAACCAAACAAAAAGTACCCTGTATTTTTTTCTTTTCATTCCATGAGAGCCCAAGCTCTAACTTCAAAAACTTTAAGTCATGAATATCTAGGCTCTGGTTATTATATAGTTGGGCCTGGTGTTTTCCGCTGTTTCAGCAGTGTACTTACCTGTTGCTTCTGTGCTGCAGCCAAGCCATGACTTGGGTGGTCCCTTGTAGCCTCAGTGAAGCCAGTCCTTGCTGGATTAATCTGCCTGCCAGTGAAAGAATATGTTTGTTCATCGGTCTTGACAACCAGTCCCCCTTGCATTGGTTCACTTGCACCCTATCTTTTTTGACTACGTTGCACAGTACAGCTTGGTTTTGGGCTGTTGCAGAAAGCTGGAAATGGAAGGCTTACCCATCTTTTTAGATCCGTATGTGACTTAGATTTGGCATTGAGAGGTGGATTGAATTAGATACAGTTGATCAGATGTGACAGAACCTTGCGTAGCGTAAATTCTCCAGCTTCTCTTATTTTCTGCTGGTGATATATTTTGTGACATTCTTCTTTGTTTGTAGGTGGAGTTGGCCTGAACCTGACAGCAGCAGATACAGTTATTTTTACTGATAGTGATTTTAACCCACAAAATGACTTGCAAGCAATAGCACGAGCTCACCGGATTGGGCAGCACAAGTGAGAAATGTTGCTACTTGGGGTTTGGTTGCTGACTCTCTTGGTCTCTCAGTATTGCTTTCCCTATCCATAGGCAATGGAGGGTTAAAGGACAATAGACTGAAGATCAAAGGAGAGCAGAGAGGATTTTATGTCTTCATTTTTCTGTTGCAGCCTCATGCACTGAGGACTGTTATCCTTGTCATGTCTAGGGTGGGAGCCTTGTAGATTTGGAGGAGGAGAGGGAATCTGGGGGTTTGCTTGCACTTTTTGCAGCGAGGATGTCTCCTGTGTCAAGAAGCAATTGTATCAGCATTACATTTCTGATGATTATTTTTGTTGGTTTTGTTCTTGCCTTTTTTTCCCCTATCAAAGGAGTGGGTGAGGGGATGGTGCTCCATGCAAGGAAACAGCTTTAGTGCACCTCAAAAATGGAAAATAATAAGAATTTTCTTAAACTTTTCAAGGCCTGTAAAAATTATCCGCTTGATTGGGCGAGATACAATTGAAGAAATAATCTACCGAAGAGCTGCTTCTAAGCTCCGGCTGACAAATGCAGTTGTAGAAGGGGGTCAGTTTGCTCTGGGAGCACCCAAGCCTCAGGGAGCAGCAGAATTACAGGTAAAATAGACCTATATCATCAATTTGACTCCACTAACATCTTTAGAAATGTCCCAGAGTGTTTCCACATTTATGTCTGATATGAACAACTTGTTTTGGGGGAGATGTGCATTGACGTGACAGCTTTTGCATGTCAGAAACCAAAATGACATCCCAGGTCCAGACAAGATCTGGCATTTGAAGGCAGTTTTTACAATTTTGAGGCATGTCCATTGTTGAAAAAGGGTGTGTTTTCTTGGAGAAGAGGGGAAGGCAGAACCTCCCTATGTTTTACTTGTTTATTTTTAATTATAACAGGTCTAAAGTGGAAGCTGACTCATTGTTTCTAGAACTTATCTGTCTCTGGTGCTTTTCTCTCACTAACAGAGCTGATGATAAGTACTTAGTCAGCTCCTGGTTGCTAGTCTGAAACTCCGTCAACCTTCTGTTGACCTCTTGGCAAATATAGTCGCTCAGGAGTAAGGGCATGATTTATAATTCTGACCTGAAAGCTGAGGTTTGTGCTGAGAACTTGGAGTGAAAACCTCAAGCAAAGTGAAAAAGGGAAAGATAGTCCCTGGGTGCAACTAAACCTGGGAGAGGTTTGGAATTAGTGTATGCTTTCCACCACCGCCTCCCTCCCCGCCCCATCAGCCTGTATCTCGGCAATTATAGTTTCCATGGGAGAAGTGGAACTGAGCCCGTAGGAAATTCCATGCTGATATTTTTCTCCCCATGGATTTTTGTGGTATTTAAGCTTTTGTTTTAAAGGAGTTGGGGCAAAAACAAGCCTGGTCTTTCTGACTATGAAGCAAGCAGCTTGAACGCAGTCAGTACAATGCTGATTTGTCATTTAGCCCTGGAAAAAAATGACCCATTCAAGTCTGGATGAGTTATGTTTGAGGGAGATATGTTGCAGGGGCCTGTCCCATCAGGTGTTGGGAGAACTAAGCGTGTTAAAGCATAAGTATTTTGACAGGTAACATTGAGGCTTAGATTTCTCCACTTGTACACTCTTTGCATTTAAGCCTGAGAAGCTCGAGACACTGAGATTAGCACCGAGTTAGGAAATACTAGTACTGAACTTCCCCTTCTCTTTATTAAAGCTGAGTGAAATCCTGAAATTTGGCTTGGATAAATTGCTCTCCTCTGAGGGGAGTACAATACAGGATGTGGAGCTAGAAAACATCCTTGGAGAGACAAAAGGAGGGAAGTGGGTAATGGACGTTGTGCTGCCACACGGAGAAGAGAGTGAAGAGGAGGACACAGAGAGTAAGTTAAGAACCTAAATACCTATGAAATGCTTGACACTTGGGTGCTGGTAGAGAAGGATTTTCAGGCAGGGGTGGCATTTTTCAGGCAATGAGAAGAAAAGTGGACTTGTAATTAAGTGACTTGGATTTTGTTTTTGGCCTAGCCACAGACTGACTTTCTGAGCCTTTATTGGTCTTTTTTTTCTTTTTGTGTCCTTATTTGCCTATTTGTAAGATAATGGTAACAATGCTTGCCCAGTTTTTGTTGCTGGGGGGTTGAATTCCTTCATGTGCTTCAAATATTATGAGACCTTGGATGAAATTAACGAAAAAAGGCCAAATGTTCAAATTGCAGCTGCTGTTTTTTCCCCGCAGAGAGACACTAAGATAGATCTACAGTTTTAGAGTTATAACAGTAACTTAAGGGAAGGCTATATAGCAGGTCTTTTGTATTTGTCCCCAAAGAGTGTTGGTCATGAAAATCACAAGTTGAAATGACCTTTAAAAATTCCAGAATGTCAGATAAGAAATGCAGAGTCATGGAGTCTAAATAACTAGAACAAACCTACTCTGTCTTCAGTACTCTGCCTTCCAGTCCAGATATCACACAATTGTGGTTAGTTTTTCATAGCCCCATACTACATGAGAATAAAGTCTAAGGCTTCTAGTGTCATGGTGAGAAAGACTGAATTTCTGTTTTGAGTACATCATAGCACTTAAATATAGACCTGTGACTGAAGCAGAAATACGGCCCTGCAGGTTAGGTATTGTCCGTCCTGCAGCAGTTGCCAGCAACAAGTAATTATTTGCTGAGACTTAGCAAAGAGTGTTATTTTCTTTTGGTAATTTAAAGAGGAGCGGCGGTAGCACACTGTGTCATAGTTACTGGGAAAATAGCTCACCTGATGAGCAGTAGCTCTGGGTTGCCAGAGTTCTGTGCTTTTATATTGTTTGGGAGCTCAAAAGAAAAAGTTTACTGTCCATTTAAAAGAGTTGCTGGTAACTAGATAGCACAGCTAAATGAATTTGCTACTGGCAGAGATGGAATGACCAAAGAGAACAGTGATGGAGCCACAACTTAGTATAGTTAATTGACTGAAATAGGAAAAAAGGTTCCTTGCCAGTATAAATGACTTAAATGAAAAGCTTTTGCCTAAGGAAGCAAATCTTGATTCTGTCATTTCTACATGATGCTGACACTGGTCATACAAAAAAATTATGAGAGTGAATATCTTTCTCTGCTGAGAGTAGAACAGTGTTACAGAGAAGCCAAATTTTGTCTGATGTCACTACACTTCAAGGTGTTAGTGGCTTTCAGTTCCTTTTTACGCTTTTTAATTATTTTTTAAAGATCACATGTACGTGTACGAAGGCAAAGATTACTCAAAAGAACCCAGCAGAGAAGACAAAAAAGCATTTGATCAGCTTTTGGATCTTCAGAAAGCCTTGACTGAAGAGACCAGTAAGGAAGGGAGAGCTCTCCGGAACAAAGCAAACGTAAGGCAAAAGACATGGCAGGGCACATGATGCTCTTTCATTTGCTTGTGGAAATCGAGGCTGTCAATTTTCTCTCTTTACTTACGCCTTGCAGAAGGTATGTTAAAAGATTTGGATGTCAATGTAGTAAAGTTGGCTCTTGAGTCTGAGGGCTTGACACTTAAGCAATTCTAATAACAGATCAGAGATATGATGTGCAGGGCCCTAATATAAACTTCGGTCACAAAACTGCATATTATGTGTCAGTGGGGATCTGATGATTAAGACCTGCGGACAAGTGGACAAATGGGAACGAAGTGTAGGTTAAGGTGGTCACCAGACATAGCTTTAATATGAGCAGTTTGTTTCCGTGATACTTCTTTCTTTCTCCAGGCCCTTCTCACAGGCCTCCGGGAACAGTCAACCAGGAGGAAGCATTTGTTGAGTGAAGAGGAGCTGGAGGCTAGGAGGAAGAAGCGCCAGGAGGCAGCAGCAAAGAGGGCAAGGCTCATGGAGGAAAAGAAGAAGGCAAAAGCAGAGGCAGAACACAAGAAAAAGTATGGTTTGTACTACATCTACTGCTTGTAAGCTGATGTCTGTTACACTGTACTTTAGAAATGTGTCTGACTAATGAAAACAAGTTGTGCTCTCTATCCACTCTGGCAGGTGGGGCTGGGGATGAGGGAAGGAGATGACAAAATGGCTGTAGGCCACCCTCATGACAGGGTTAGCTTCATACATCAGGATGTTTCTGTGTGTGTGCTCAAACTGCGTAACGTAGGGACGTGAAGGTGGAAATATGGCTTGAGCCCCTAGAAAGGGTTCTCTTCCTCTCAATACGCTGCCTGATTTCACATCTAATTTGATTCATAGAGAGTGGCCTGAATAAGAACCCCGTATCTGAATGTACAGTGGCCTTTTGGGAGAAGCTTTCTGAAATGTCACAGTTGGCCTTTATGTATTGGTCTGACATCTGTGACTCTCTGGCATGTGTCCTGTCTCTCCCCTCCTTGTTTCCTGGGTGTTCTTCCTTTTCACCACTCGAAGTAGCTCCTTGCCCTTTATCATATGCTCACTTTTTCCACGCCTGCAGTTGCCTTATCACACTGGCACGTGGCTCTTAATATCACAGATAACAATGGTGGTAAACTTTGTTCCGGTCTGAAACAGGGGAGGGGAGCAGAGGGAATGCATGTCTGGGTCTCCTGTGTTTCACTGCAATGATTTAAAACAAGGTCTGTGCCCCCCCCCGCCCTTCGATTTACATTGAACATCATCTTCTCTTGTTTTGTTTCAGGATGGCCTGGTGGGAGGCAAATCATTACACGTCTACCTGCCTTCCTTCAGAGGAAAGTGACTCTGAGGAAGAGTTTGAGGAGGATGAGGCTGGGCTGAATGTGAGTTTGGATTATGAAGATGCAGACTTGAACTGTATCAAGTATGTCATGGGAGATGTCACCCACCCCAAAGCAGAAGAGGAGGATGCCATCATTGTCCACTGCCTAGGTGAGACTTACAACAACAGGAATGTTGTTGGGTGAGGTGGACAAGGGGGCTGAACTGTCCCGGCTAGCTCAGTAGTTTCTAATTTCCTTCCGGGCTGAAATAATTTGGATTTGAGTCTGACTTACTGTTGAGTAGTGCAGAGGCAGTACAGCCTCTACTCCACCATATATAACCCACACAAGTCCTAGCAAGGTGTATATGGGTCTCTTCATGCCCTCTCTGGATTTATGGGTGAGCCTCTTGAAAGGTGCCTATGTGGCTTGAAATTGTGTCGGTGTCCAAGTGGGCACAGTTCCTCCTGAGAGCAGGGCCTTTTGTTCATCCCATGGAAGCTGTAGGGATTGAACTGAGGTACTGAAAATCATCTCCCTTACACAGTCAGCAGAGAGAGACAGGCACTTCCAGACACTGAGGTCAGGGTTTTTCTCTCTTGATGCTCACCTCAACACTGACAGTACAGAGGCTCCAAGCTAGTTTCCTCATTTAAGGACCCCTGTTAAGACACTAAAGCTGAAGGAGAGAAATTCAGGTCACAGAGTTCCTTCTGAATCAGTGTTGAAGCTGTTCTCTGACCAGGGCTATAGCAGAATATTATAATCTGCTTTGGCTTATGTTAAACTCGGCACAGAAACTCATGTTAAAAGTGGAAATGCCAAGTAAAAGTAAGAGCCTGCAAATAACAAACGTCTAGCTAGGGGAAGCCCAGCACACTAATCTGGGGACATACTAGGTGCATGCTCTATGCACCTATATGCAGATATGTGAGGATACCAACAGGTTTATATGCTTGCTGCCATGCTTAGTGCTTGACTGAGCATCCTCGGTGGGCAGGAAGAAGGAATTCTTCCTGCAGAGTTTTTCAGGGAACCGTGACAAGATTGTTTTTCTCAAGAGCTAAGTTTTGTCCTCTAGGGTGGTCCCTTGAGTACTGGTTGACTTCAGTTCATGTGTGGTTCCCATATCTGGTTTTGATAATGATTCGTTGCATTTGCACAGAGTAGGTCCCTTTCCTCCAGGGGTGGTCTTCAACCTCACTTTCTAAAAGGGGTCTAACTTGTCGTTTCATTCTAGATGACTCTGGCCGCTGGGGAAGGGGTGGTTTATTTACAGCTCTGGAGGCTCGTTCTGATCAGCCAAGGAAAATATATGAGATGGCAGGAAAGATGAAAGGTAAGAGAATAAAACATGACCTTAGGCCAAGATACTTGAAAGAGCTTAAATCCCACTGATGTTGCAGGAGTGAAGTGCCTGAGTCCCTTGATACTCGTGTTTTTTCCTCTTTCTCTGGATATGTGCATCCCTAGCTCTGAAGGTAGTAATACAGTGGGTGCTTTGACTTGACTTGTTTGGAGTATGAGAACTCTGCACAGGGGTCAGTCATTCCGATCCATGCTGCAAGTCATAAAAAAAAAAGAAAAAACCAGAACTTGTTCATTATTCACAGAATGTTTTTCACTGTATTAGACAGAGCACTGCATCTTCTGTCAAAGTGCTTTTAAGAAGGATGAAAGCCACCTCAGGCAGTACTCAGTTGAGCCTTTGGTTCCCTCCAAGCCCTAATCTTCTGAGCATGTATTAGCAGTTTTGAGCTACCTGCAGCTGGTGAGGAATGCACATCTTGCTGTAACGTGGACCTTTTGGTTTTTTCATTCCTGATTTGCTGGGAGATACTTTCTTCTTGTTCCAGTGTCTCTCTTTCCATTTGTGGTCTTTAACTGGAATGTGTATGTGTCTGCGTGTCTCAGGGTGGGGGGTTAATGTCTGTCTTGCTTCCCCGAGTAAAGGGTCTGACTCTGCTGAAACCGTCATAAGGAGATAAAGAAAGCCAAGGACAATAATGCGGAGTGTGATAGTGAAATCACTGCTGCATTGACTGCCCATCAGGACTGATTTTTTTGTTGTTGTTCTGTTCTTGTTTTCTGGACAGACCTGGAGTTAGGAAGAACCCTGTTATTCCCCATTGATGATAAAAAATCCAGGAAAAAAGGGCAAGACTTGGTGAGAATAAGCAGCTCCTTTTTGTGTTGCTCTGTCCACATGTTTTTGAAGCTGTGTGAAATGAATGTTATGTCTTTTTCCCAATAATAATGGCACTGAATACTGAACATGGCTGAGTTGCAGTTATTAGAAGAAAGGAGATCTTTTTCTTGTTTATTAAAGCTAATAGTAACGCAGTTTTCCAGCAGCTATCACTGTGTGTCTTAGCACTGTATATAGACTCCATTTCGGTTTTTTGTGCATTTTCTCCTTAGTTGGCCTTGATTGTAGCTCAGCACCGGGATCGGTCCAACAACTTGTCTGGCATTAAGCTTTGTGCTTTGGAAAAGGGCCTGAAGAAGATTTATTTAGCAGCCAAGAAAAGGAGTGGTAAGTGTCTGTGCAGTAGAACAGTAAAAGACTTATATGTGTGATTGCGTCTAAAGATGATGACCAATTTCCATCTCTCCTGTGCTGGTTTTTTTGAAGTGAAGTAAGAGTGAGATCTCCATGGCAGATATGTTGTGTTCCAAAATATTTCTTCTGTGCTTGTTGGGTATCTTGAAGTCCTTATCTAGATTGTTTTCTGATTGTGTATCTTGTCCTAAAGAGTGTGCATTCTCCGTTCCTTTCTTCACAGCAACAGTGCATCTTCCACGTATTGGGTATGCAACAAAAGGTTTCAACTGGTATGGTACCGAGCGGCTCATCCGAAAATATTTGGCAACACGGGGTATCCCCACTCTTATGTATCCTTTTGGAGTATGTCTTACTTTGTTCACAATCTAATATTGAAACGACCCCCTAAATATCTTGGTGGATGCAAAGCAAGGCAGCAAGGCAAGGCACAGATGCCACAGTCCGGCTGAAAACTTGGTTTCTCTGACTTTGCTGTCATCCAGGTACTCATTCCACACTGAGGACTTACCATTTTAGGTGATAATGACAGATTAGTGTGATTCAGTATGCCTGTCAGAATTTATTAGAATGGGGTGCTAGTCTTCAGTTGACAGCCATCAACTCACCTCTATATGCCACATCTGTCGGGGAGGTGACTGGGATTTCAGAGTAACGGAAGTGAGTCAGAAAGTAGGAAAAGTGAGAATGTGAAAAAACCATTCCAGTGTTCCAAGCAAGTGATAACCTGCTTCCTTGGCTGAACATGGTGGAGTTGGTGTGTGTTAGGACAGGCTCTTACAACAAAACAGCTCGTGGCTTTCACCTGCCAGGAAAGGAAACAGGTTTAGAAGGAGGCTGTGTTTTGTCACTTCTGTAGGAAGACATGCATTGGCTAGACTGCCACTGTCAGCAATTCTGTGAAACTGAAAGCCTGAAACAGAGACGATAGTATTTAGAGCATTATGCCTCCTTCCTTGGTGAATATCTTTGTGGACACGTTGTCTGGCATTCCTTGACACTTGACAGCATTTCCTTGACGCTTCTTAATAGATACTACTTCCCTAGGAATAAAGGCTCTTCCTTTGCTTCACAACCATATTCATCTTCAACAACAGTCTCAAAGCCATGAAGATGCAGTAATTTTATTGAGAAACATGCACAAAAAGCCAAGGATCTCTTCAGTATCACACAGACGATCTGTATGCATCCACTTTAGAAACATGGCTTACACAGCTGTTATTTGCCGCTGCATCTGTCTGCCTTTATTGGACAGAATGTTTACATGTTGTCAGTAGCGCTGGAGAGGAATGAGACTGCTTCAAAGAGTCTTTGGATAGAGATGTTAGCTCAATCCCAGATCTGTTTTGGAGATGGAAAATTAAACTTTCACTGATGGTCGGCTGTTATCCGTTATATTAAGTTATTGCTAGGGCTTGGAATTATGGTATTTTTTGGCCACATTTTTTCCTCCCTTCAAAATTCATCCTTTCTCTCACTATACCTCTTTTCAGTCAGCTTTTTAGTGGTTACCTGGGACTCTTGTGTACATGCCCACATAGACATCTCAGCAGAAAGGAAGCCACATTAACAACACTGCATGACAACCACATAGTATAAGCTGTTTATACTGTTCCAGTTCTCCAGAAGTCCATTTGACTTGCATTTGTTCAAATATCAAATTTAGCCACGTAATCACATGCTTACAATCGAGCAAAATCCTTAGCAGTATTCTTGGCAAAGGTGTGCAAGGCTGCCAAAATTTGAGACTGGCTTTATAAATGACACCTTTCCTTCTCCTACAACTGCTTTTTCATTACATAGTTCTTTGTTGCAGCTGTTGGGCAAAACCAGTTCTTTACTGCTGTCCAAAAAGCTGTGCGAAAGGTTCCGTGTCCCTTTGATTCACTGTAAGGAAACCTTAACACACAGTTTTTGATGTTGGCTTTACTGTTAGAGAACTTCCCTGTTTTTTGCATCGTTGGCACTGTTGGCTTTAGTGCTTTTTTTTTTTTTTTTTTTTTAGTACAACCAGGCAGTAGTAGCTCTCCTAATAAGTGTTTTGACCAGAGAGACTGTGAGGTGCCAAACTTAATTACATTTGAAGTTCAGCTTGCGATAGAGAAGCACCCCACAAGCAGTGGAAAGTATGTCTTTAAATACCTGGTTGCCGACACCTCTCTGGTTGGCTGCATTTGCATTGCCCCTGTAGCACCATCTGGTTACTTAGTAATTTCAGGCCTGATTCTGACATGGCTCATGAGGCTGACTGGCTTGCTCCGCACTGGAAGAAGCCTTGGATACTCTGTCATTCTCTCTGAGCTCTACCAGAAAACCCCAAGTGATTTGTTACCTCCTTTGACCCTGCTGAAGCTGAGGTAAGCTACTGCTGCGTAGCACCTCTGTGGGTAAGACCTTTCTTGCAGCTGCTCACAGGAACGGCTCCTATATATTTGGCAAAGGGCTTGCAGGATGAGAGTCTGACTGAAAACTTTCTGGGGTGAAAGGTGGTGAGTAGATGTAAATTACCTTGTTTTCCCCCAGTCATGCGAACTGGCACTCTTCCAGCAGGCCGGCTGGTGGCACTGTTAATCAGCTGCAGCAGCACATGTTGCTCTTCGGCCTCTTTTCAGAGAGCAGGGCAGTGATCCCCAGCTTGGAAAAACGCTCCCTCTTTGGCAGAATTAAAACACCGGTTATGCTTTTCTTTTTGCCAGCTTGACTGAACACATAATTTCAGTCTGCGTGCTCCAGGCTCTTTTCCTCCACCTATTCTTCTGTATAATTACTGCCCTTCTTTAAAAGGTTTTATTCCCAAGTGTTTCAGTGTCTGCAGTCTTATTCTTCAGCTTCACGCACACCTATGGCCAAATCCCAGCTCACCTACAGGTTCTCTGGCCACCATGCAGTTACACATGGACAGGATTTGTCTTGTGGCTGAGAACAGGTTGAAGTACTGCATCTGCCACCACTATGGCCAGGTATTCCCATTTGAGGCCTCATGCTCACCTTTTTTCTACAAGAAGATGGGGCTCTGCCTCTGTCCTGCTCCCCCCTACCCTGCTATAACTCTGACTAGAGTTATAAAGGAGAGGAGGGCATGACTACCTGCCTGTTGATGTCCCTTACCCTCTGAGATAAGGTCCACAGGGGGCTGTAAGGTTCCTGGCACGCACAGAGGAAAGGTCATGGTATGCAATAGATTCTATCCCTCTGACTTAGAGGCAAGTCAGACAAAAGATGTTCTCTTTTTCCCCTCTAGTCCTCTTGGTCTGTACAAATGAAATCTACCTTATTTTTTTTCCTTTTAAATGTACTTAGGAAATGCTTCTGGAGTGTGGGGGCTTGGTTGTTTGTGGGTTGGTGGGGGGTTTTTTTAAAACAATATTCTGTAATATTCTTTAGATTTGCTGAACCCCCAAAAAAGTACTACCTCTATCTGCTTTGAAATGGAAGTGAGATTTCAACTGAATCCTGAATTGGGTTTTGCAGTTAATCTCAGCCAAGTGAAGTTTTTCTAGTGTTTGCTACCCACTGCCATGTCTCTTTATTTGGGCAAAAGTCATCTATTTTGGATAATTAATTCCATAAAGGGCTCAGTAGCTTTTATGCCAGTTGCTATGCAAAATAAATATGTCATGCTGTTTCTTCAGCTGTGCAGTACTATGCATTTTCCCTTTCTAAATAGCAACCACCCCAAAAGGGAAGGAAGGTGTTTCTTTGTAGTTGTGTCCCTCTGGCCTCTCTCTTCCTCTAAACATGAATTCCTGCAGTGTAAAAGCTGAAATGTGGCTCCTCGTGAATATCTTTTATTGCACATTCACTTAAACTTTCGATGTATGCTGCTAGATTGAGGTCAGCGGCACAGAGGAAGGTCATGGACAGCTCAGGCTGGCTATACAGGTGGTTCCATTAGATAGGACCTGTGAAGTGGCATCCAGTCTCAGTGAAAAATGTTCCTCTCCACCCCGTGCTGGAGGCTCCAGCTGATGCGATGTAAGAGTGGGCAGTTAATTCAGAATGACGTTTATACTTGTGCTGGCTCAGCTCGTGCTTACGTTTCTTACTTGACAAAGCACTGCCTCTGGTTCCCAAAGCATTGGGCAGACAAATTCTGTCTTTGGTGAGGAATCTGCGTGGCCTGTAACTTAAGAATTATCTTTTCACTCTACTCAGGAAACAGTAAAAGAAAATGGAGAAACCAATCCACATGTGTGGATATGTGATTTTGTCACTGAATTTTGTTACAGACAAAAATTATCTGGATATGACACTGTGTGTTGGGGAAGGTGGAGTCTGGATTTTGGGGAAAGAAAGAGAAAGACTAGTTTCCAAGGTGATGAAGAAAATCTGCAGCAAATTCAACCTCTATCTTAACAAAAATATTGCATAAACATGTCTCCAAACAAGGCAGAATCTGGCCCACAAAAATGATCAGTAGAAAAACATATGGATAAGTAGATGGATTTATTTAAAAATAATTGAATCTAATGTTCCTGGAGGAAAAAAGAAAGCCAACTTTTGAGGAAAGAGATGACAGAGTAACCTACATGTCAAGTTGTGTGAAAACTCCCACCACTTTATGTTAGATGATCCTAGAAGAGAGAACATAGACCTTTATTTAACTAATTTGACTGGATAGCAATTTGGTTGTGCGCTTGATCAGCAAATCAAAATGTAAGACAGTGTGATTCAAAACCGTAAGGGATTTGTTGTAAGAAGGGATAATGTCCATATTCCAGAAAGTGCCCCTTCTAATAGATCCAAGATAACTTGTGTTCACATAACTGACCAAAAGTCCATCTCTCCTGTTTTTTTTGTCCAACTCATGCTTTTCAGAGTGAAAAATACAAGCCTGAGGAATGCAGTATCAGGATTAGTAGAATTACATGTGAATATATACTCTGAAAAGCAGATCTCTGTATCATTTTTAATATCCTACATGAATAAGTCTGTGTATTTTCCATGCTGGACTCTACCATCCACCCATCTTGGCCCTGGTCAAATGGTATTGCATTTGTGGGAAGACACCTAGAACCTTCTGAAAATGTGATGAAGACAAAAATTGTCTGTATCCTTATGTTTCAACCAAGAAGAGAGTGTTCCTGCTTGCACTTTCTAGCATTTTCCTGAGTATTTCTTCAAAATTAAGGATAGAAACAATCCCCTCAAGGAGCTACTTGAAATAAGAATGTTAATCATGTTTCCGTTGAAAAAACAAGCCAAAGGAGAGTTAAGGGAAGCCAGAAGTTGCTTCTTGTAAGATCTGAAAAACTCTCAGGTTTTGCTGGCTTGAGCAGAAAATAACTATTTTCTTGACTTATTTATTGAAGTAAGTGCAGGATATCTACCAGCCTTCCTCTGCTACTGCCAGTGAACTTGAAGTTGTAGCATTGGCATTCACATCATAAGGAAGAGAGACAAATTAGGAGCAAATCAAAGGTATTTATGGTTTCCTGCAGAAAGGGGTGAAGAATCTGAAATCATATCACTTTTCTGTGTGCCACATCATGAAATAGGCCAAGTTTGGTCCTGGCTTCATATGGGTGTCCTGCCTCTTCAGCTGTTTGTGTGTGCATCTAAGAGCATGCAATAAAGCAGTGCTGGGGCATGTACTTGACCACTTACAGAGCCTTCCTAAAACATCTCCTGGCGAATATGCTAGCAGGAACGGGAAAAGATCAAAACAGAAGGGAACTGAACAGTGAAGGTGTCTTGCATTGCGTGCAGACAGAGCACACTCTGGACTGGAAACCGTCTTTCTTTGAGATGGACATACTGGAGTGAGTCTAGCGTAGGTCCACTAAAATGATTCAGGGATTGGAACATCTGGCATACCAGGAGAGGCTAGGGGAGCTGGGAGTTTTTAGCCTGGAGAAGTTTCAGAGTGGAATCAATGTGTGTAAGTGTGTATCAACATGCATAAATTCCTGATGGAATGGAGTTAAAAAATGGGGCCATACTCTGCTTGGTGGTATCCAGTGAAAGGAAAAGAGTGAACAGGTACAAACTGAACTACATGAAATTCCATTTAAACATGAGGAAAAAATCGTTTTTGCTGTGCAGCTGTTAAACACTGGAACAGGTTGCCTGGGGAGGTTGTTGGAGGTGCTCAAAACCCAACTTGGCGCAGCCCTGAGCAACCTGCTCTAGTTGACCCTGTTCTGAGGGGGGAGACTGGACCTCCAGAAGTCCATGCCAACTTAAACCGTGCTCCTGTAAATCTATGAGATCCGTTCTGGGTGCTTTTAAAAAAAAAAAGCAACGAACCAAACAAC